CTTCCCAGAGCAATTAAAGAACCTAATGCATAATGTAAAAAACCACACTGCTCAAGATTGTAGAACAGCTATAGAAGAGAGAGCAATAATTTCAGAAGAAACTGTAAAGCAGTTCTTTTGGCAAACTTCTATAAATGAACAAAGACCAAAATCAAAAATCCGAGTAAATTACATTGTCATTAAATGTCTTGTAGACACAGGTGTGTATGTAAAAATAATCGTACCAGATTCTTGGCATCCTAATTGATCTCTTCAGGTGGTAAATGTTCAAATTTTAGGAACTGGAACTTTTGTCTCAGGTAAAATAATATGAGATGTGTCGGAGGTACAGAACCAGAAGGACAGAGAGGAAAATTAAAGCCGTATGTGGCTAACATGTAGAGCTTATGGGGATATGACTCATTACAGCAATGGAATACTCAGATTAACATTTCCCAACCTTAGAAACAGACAATAAATTAATGTATGTTTCTGGGAACAATATTAGAAGGTATTATAAAGAACAATCACTGATCACTCAGGTTGTACAAGAACAGGGCACAACATCTGCTGATTTTTCAAAGGCACCAACAGCCCTACCTTTCAAATAGTTGAAAGACAAACCAATATGGGTTAAGTAATGGCTTTTTATCAACTGAGAAACTGCAGGTCTTAGTACAGCTGGCATAAGAGCAGCTAAATGCTTACCATGTTGAAGAATCCACCAGCTTTGGCATTCTCTTGTATTTGTTATTAAAAAGAAATCTGGGAAATGGAGACTGATAGCAGATCAAGAGCCATTAATACGGTGATATACACAATGGGCTTTTGACAATCTAGAAATTTTTTGCCTTCTCTGTTACCAAAAGGATGGCCTCTTATAGCTATTGATTTAAAAGTTCATTTTTTCACTATACCTTTAAAGGAAAAAGAAGAGAAAAAATTTGTCTTTATGGTGCCTATTTATAGTAATTTTAAGCTCACTAAAAGATGCCAATAGAAGATTCTCCCACAGAGAATATTAAATAGCCCCCCCCCCTTGTGCCAATATTTTGATACTGTAGTCTTTGGAAATGTTACATAAACAATTCCTCAATGTATAGTTTTCCATTATATGGATGACATTTTACTAACTGATTCAAACATAGATACTTTAGAAAGATTGTGAGTTGATTATAAAAGGAAAATAGAGACTTTGTCAATTATCAGTAACAGACCCAGCAGATATTATAGTACCTTTAAACTAATGATGAGATTGACAAAATATGGGCAGATTGTAAACCATGGCAAAGATCTTGAAAGATATATATATATATATATACATATATACATATATATATATATATATATATATTTGTGGAGATTAACTACAAATATCCTAAAAGCAAAATAATTAAATGTATAAAGAGAACTAACTGGACTTCTCCTTGCCTTGTATGGGGACACCAATATTTTGACCCTCTATATTCTATACTCAAGCAAATAAATCAGTAAAGGCAGGTTACAAATCAGAACATTTAAGTAAAGTGGCTCAAATCCCTTATGGTTCTGTTTAAAAGTCAGAATTAAATGCTTTTCTCAAGTTATTAGTGGATTTTACAGAAATTTTCACCATTGTTACTGATTGACAATATGCAGAAGGAGTTGTTTTGTATATTGAAACCACTGAATTTATAGCAAATGATACAGAGTTGACTTTATTATTTATTCAGTTACAAGACATGATAAGTAATAGAAATAATTCCAAATTCATAACACACATCCAAGACCAAATGGTTTTGCCAGGCCCTCTAGCACAAGATAATGAAAAAAATTGATCAAATATTGATAGAAAATGTGCTGGAGGTCTGAAAATTTCATAAGAAACATTATGCTAATAGCAAAGTTTTAAAAAAAGATTTTTCATCATTTGTCAACAAGCCAAGGAAATTATAAGAAAATGACCTATTTGTTCTTTATATAACCAGACTCCACTACAAGCCAGAAGTAACTCAAAAGGTACTTAAAGGAATGAAATCTGGTGATGGATGTGTTCCATTTGAGAATTCGGAAAATTAAAATATGTAGACCAAAGCCTTAAGCTTTTTTGTATTTCAGTGGGAAACTGTTTTGAGTTCTGAAGAGGCTTATTCAGTAATCACAAATATGCTAGAAGTTATAGACACCATGGGTATACCTGTATACAGACAATGCTCCAGCATATGTCTCTAGTGAAATGAACAGCCTTTTCCTTATTATAATATAAGGCCTATTACAAGCATACCACACAATCCTACAGGGCAGGCAATTAGGGGAAGTTCAAATCAAACTCTAAAGCATATGCTAAATAAACAGGGATGTTAAATACCCCTAAATATATATTACATAATGCTTTATTAACTTTAAATTTTCTAAATGCTAGTGAGAAAATAAAAATAGCTGTGGAGAGACATTGGATAATAGAAAAAAACTACAGAATTAAATCTCTTGGTATACTTTAATGATACATTGACCTCAGAATGGAAACCAATATGTGTTACATTGGGGAGAGGAAAAGCTATGGATACCATCAAAATTGATAAAGATCCAATTTGAACAAGAGAGAATTCTTAATTAAAATAAATGATAAATCACCAGACAGCATGGCCGTTAAACTAAACTAACTTATAAAGCTAAAAATATCATTTTCATTTGATCAGATATAGCTTGCCAAAAGGGAACCTCCCCAAAATTAGAGTTGGGGGATTGTTTTGTTTCTCTTTTCAGGAGAGCAAGTCATCCAGCTAAGACATATAAAAACCACTGCACAAATGAGACATCGGAAGAAAAATGGAAAAATCATTCAGAAAAAAATGTCCCAAGATAAAGTAAATTGGCTTATTGATATATCACATTTTCAAGAGTATAAAATTTCACAAATATTCCCAAGTGTTTGTTTCTCTTGTTCTCTACAGACATAATGCAAAAGAAATTTTGGGATTCACAGTCCAATTAAAAATTAAAGCTGACTTTGGATTCGGAGTGTGGCTCTCTCATTCTCTAAACCCAAGCATTCTTACTAAAGTAAAATCCAAAATTTCTGTATCATTTCAGAAGGTCCACCTCATATGGAAAAGAAGGAAAACAAAAATTTAAGGCCTTTTTTAATTGCCACTAATCTCCTAACCTTTTGGTTTTATTTTGACTCTTCAACAGCTTTTCTTAAGATATGAATACTATTGAAAATTTTATATATATGTATATATATGTGTGTGTGTGTTTAAACATTTTATCATGATATTAATAATTGTATACTAACTAATTCTAGAAAAAAGACTTCATCTAGCTTCTTGTACATTATTTTGGGTTTGAGCCTCTATTAGATAACTAAGAATTAAGTTTTTGTACTCTAGACATATGTAACAAATATTGATCCTTTAACCTCTTCAAGATCTGCTGTAAATGACATTTAAAGTATTTAAGTTTTCTGCAATGAACTATGACCACACCTAACTTAGACCTTTGAAGTCTCCAAAAAGATGATGAGGGGCCACAACAGTGATTTCACCAGGACTATGATAACATCACTAAGCTGAAAAACACCACCTGAAGATCAGCTTTGGACTACAAACTATTCAGGACAATTTCAAGGTGGCTATCAGAGATAATTCAGCTTCATAGCCTACTCTAGCCAGGACTGGAGAGAAGCCATACACTTTCCCATTACACAGAGACTAAATAACAAATTATAAAGCCACCTTTCCAGGTAATTCACAATTAACCAAAAAATTTTTCTTTTCCCCTAAAGTTGTCATCACCCCCAGACAGCAGGAAGTAAATTTAAGTATATGACACTCACATTCCCAAGAGGTGGGGTAGGTAGGTAGTTATTGGATGGTCAAAGGGTTATGGATATTTGTCATATTTAGGGTGGTTGGTTACAAGTTAATATTGTTAAGAATCAAGGAAAAAGTTGAACAAAGAAATCTAAATTCAGCCTTTTTGTTTTGCAAAGCAAGAACGGGGATAGAGATATGATAGGATATTAGGGTAGATTATTGAGTCTACTCTGAAAAGAAAGTGTATATGTAGAAATATGATAGATAGTAGAATCTATTTTTAAACTAAAGTAGCAACTACAAGCTTTATATATTTTACATTGATATGGATTTTCGTATGTTGACACAAATTTAAGATTATTTTTGTTAAAACGTACTGTACTTACTAATCTTATTCTAAGTATTGTGAGTATGCAACTCATTTAACAATGAAATGTAAAGATTTAACCCCCTGAAAGTTATTATTACCAACTGTTTAAGACAGCAAGGAAAGTCAGGTTAATAGTCACCTATTACAATTGAACTTGTAATCATGCTAGGTATGTTTTCAAGGCCAAGCAGATATATTTTAGGCAGACATATGGTCTTCAAACACTTCAGAGATCTGCATTTAAGATGTTTTATAGCATAGGTTTGTTTTTTTTTTTTTTATGACAATGAGACATGTCTGCTACTGGCAGAATCATCCTACATTGGAGACGATGATGGGCATCAAAGAAACTCCATATTGAGTTTACTTTATTTGTGGCAAAAGAAAGCCACTTGTTAAAAAAGTGCTCTTGCCTTGACTTCTGACATTATGCTGTCCAAATTTGACAAGCAGAACACAAAAGAGACTGACTGCCAAACATTGCCAATACAAGGAGGGATAGTCCTTCAAAAGTCCTGCTTCATAGAAGAGTCTCTCAAATAGTCTAGGCCTTTCAGCTAAATATGGATGCCCCAAAATTACAGAGAATGACTTTCCAGGCAGCCAGGTGTTTCTGTCATTTCTCACATCTTTTTTTTTTGGAATTCACTTGTTTGTACTGCCTGCTTACTCTGCTAATATTATTTCCTTCTAGGGTCTCTGAGGCAGTTAAGACTAGATATTTATAGTTATAGTTTTCCTTGTTTACCAAACTCAGTGATGAAATTCACTAGGAAATGAAGATGTATTCTTAAAAGAAGTCCCATACTAGCTCAGAATTGAGAAATACATGATTATTTATTTACGGGTAGACTCACAAATCAGAATCCTCTTCTTGAATGGTGATCAGAAACCAAATCCCACAGCTGGAAAGAGAGAGCAGAAGCATGCTCTATATTAGCTTTATAGTATAAGAGACCACACCCAAGTGGGCGGATAACCACTGGCTGTAAGACTTCCTACAACACCTCCCCCTTTTGTTTAAGTAAGAGAGTTTTAATACTAATACAAAATTACATACAATAAATATCTTATCATAACTAGTTTAATAAAGAACTTGGCAAAGTCATGAGAGGACAGTAACTACAACTATCTAGTCTTCAACCCCATCAAAGATCCTAGAAGGGAAATAATATTACTTGAGTAAGCAGGAAGTGCAATCAAGCAACTTCCAAGATGTGCAAAAAATGACAGAGACAATTGGCTTCCTGAGCAATCACTCAAAGTCTCATTTGCAACATTGAAGCAGCCAACTTTGGCTAAGGTGTAGTATAACTGACAGACCATTTTCAGGGTAAGGACATTTTTCAAAACCGTTTTACCCTGTCTTGGAAAGATTTGACAGTCCTGATTATTCATTTCTGGATATTCTATGCAGAATATAATCTCTATGTATCTAAAGAACCTGATTAGTCTAACTATAAGTATGACAAACATAGATGACTATTGATCTATAATTCTTAATACCTATATAACTTAAAGATTAAGACTTCATATTGAAATATTGTACAACAAACAACTGTGTAACAAATGAGGACAATGACCTCAAGATATAAACAATGTATATCTTGATCAGAGGTAGAAATGTACATTGCAATATGATAAATATATATCAATATATAAAAATGTTTTAAGCAGAGGTAGAAGCATGCATACATACAATATTCAATATAATTTAACTTTATATCAATATACAAGATTTTATACCAATGTAATTGCCTATAAATAATAACAAGTATTCACTCTATTACTCAGTATTATTATTAGTATGAGTAAGCTCATACTAATCTACTATCCCATCCAATTTTCCCCCTTTTTTCCAAAGAGATCCCTGAGCCTGTAAAATTCCCCCAACCCTTAACCCCATACCAATTATAATCAACCCCTAAATGATGTCACTAACCATAGGAAAAGCTTTGTTGTGAGAGGGTACATCATCTTCCAGAATTACTTCCAGCTGTCATAGGGGTGATACACTTTCTAAGGGATCCTGTGAAAGTAAAATGATAGTTAAGTTCCAAGATTACTGTCTGGTATAATTGCAAATAATCTCTGGGTATTTGGTGAAGGTCTGGCCAGAACATTGTAAAAAAGTGCACCATATCAGCTAACCAAGTTCGACCCATCTTGAGCAGCTGGTACCCAAAGCAGGTCTTGTAGTAATGCTATCAGCATCATGACATCATATCATCCAGGTGGAGCTGTTGATGTGGGGGCCCATCTTCTTCCTGAAAACTCCAAAGATTACTGCAGGAGAATTCATTGTTCATTGTGGAAAACTTAAACATTTTTTATACAGACATATATTCAATGAAGGGTACAATTAGAGGAAGAAAAGTAAATTTTTTTCTAAATTCTTTCTTCTTTCTGCCCCATACCAGATGGCTCCTGACATGAGACAAAAACTCTGAATTTTTCTT